TAAAGTTTCGTCGGAACGAAGTTACGGGAAGTTAATTAACAAACGGAGACGTAACAATATATAATATGGTAAATAATATATATTTGTATTAATTGTAATGCTTTAAGCACTGTTTTATTGTATAATTTCTTTCAAGAAAGTGACCTTGTAGACCATGACGTCATTAGGTCTACTACAAAATTCAACTGTCTTTCTGATCAATGGTTACAAGGCCCATATGTAACAGCGTAGTAAATACCTATGTTATGTAGTGGCTTTCACTGTTGTGTAATTGAGGTGTCTGTGTTCCAGATACGATGTAGTTAATGAATTCTTATTTTTTATTAATACAAGGTCAAAGGTGGCCAGTATAATACCACTGGCATGAAGTTAAGTCTTTCTGTATGAAACAGCAAGTTATTGACATAGAAACCAAACATTCTTGGAACCCTCGCCTTTTAGCTTTGATCTACACCCAATAGAAGTTTTTATTTTCTACAACATAATGCATCCACTAAGTTACTCCCTATTCAAATAATCGAAGCATCAACTGCTGAACTATTTAAACTGAACATCTGAAATTGCGCACTATTTGTTTGAGTCCAATAGTTCCAGACTGGCATTAAACATTTCAATAGCTGGTATAGGTATTTCTGTTTTGTGCACTTTCATCACTGTCGGACTAAGGTACTGAAGGCATAGACCTGTCTGTGACTCCTTCACTGACTAACGACAGAGGTGACAACTTCCCAAAGAGATGCTGGCTGTTCTTAATGTCTGAAGGCTCTACCATTTGTACATATGCACATTTTCTTTTCTCGTTAGAATATCAATACCGTGTAGTCACATAAGTACAATAGGATTCCTCTCCCCCACCTTTGGGGAAACTTTGGCAGTCTATCTCTCCTATTTTGATAATCCCTCTCCATGATGCATGCTTCACCACTTAATAGTGAGGTAGCTCCAGCTGTGTATATCATCCTCCAGCAGCATCTACAATTATTTTCTTGTCACAAGAAACATAAACTAGGAGTGTATCAGCAATATTGGTTACTTACAATTTAGGAGTCCTATGGAGTCCTCCCTACTTGTTTCTAGAGTGTCCAAGCCTTACAATGCTGTAATAACCAATACTTCCAGATTTTCTAGACACAGAGAGGGAGAACTTGGACTTTAGCTTATCATCCTAGTCCAGTAGTTGGCATGGCTCTTCCCTCTGAGGTGAAAATTGAACATCTATTGCTGGTCTTTTGATCCCAGATATATTTTAGAAGCAGTTGTTTCTCTTCACACAAACCTTTGAAATCTTGGAAAATACCTTCCTGTGTCAACAAGATAAAAACTTAAAATTTAAAATATTTGAAACAAACAAAGCACATTAAACGTAGATTTTACAGTTACAAATCACTTATCATAACATAAAAAAATTACATTAATATCTTAGTCTGTGGTGTTTTAAGTTACCAATAAAATCGGAGAATGGAGGTTTGATAAAAATTAAATATATAAGTGTGAAATAAACTAAACTGAGATAAGATACTTCACCAATAAAAATAATATTTTATCAAAGACAAAACACGCAATTTTTACGGCTGGATACAAATGTAGAATCAACAATCAACTCTCTGTTGAACGGTTTTCTATATATTAGCCAATCCTAAGCTCCGTCAGAACTTAGAATAGTGCCGTACATTTACATTACCAGACAATCATCCAAGAACGAAAAAGGGGAACCAGAATGTCCAACTTCCCTATTCCTCATTTTGAGATATGGCCGACATGACAAATTTAATTCTAAGTAGTCTAACTGTCTGTCATTACTCAGTTACAGCCTCTGTGATTCAAAAATAGCTGGTGTTCAAACATAACTCTTTTCTGTTTTATATGTATTTGCCAGCCAGTATACATGTTCGTCATTACAATCTAGGAGGCGTTATAAGGTAACGGACAATTCCACTAAATTAAAGTAGAACAAGAGTTTGCAGTGGGTACTTTGACTAACCGCCTTGTCTTTAATCTATCACTTCTAAATTAGAGTCTGATAGCACATATAGCTTTTATGCAAAATTCAAAAAACAAGTACCCAGCATATCTAGTTATACGATGTCCAGTTAAGAAAAAATAGTCTTTCAGGAGAAGCTACATATTTCAAGAATTGTAAATTTTTGTTGGCTTTGTTTAATTTTATTCAGTTCACTTTGGAATATAGTCTATTGTTACGATAGCGGAAGTCACGTGACGCTGGTGGCGCGTTAACGCTGGTGGCGTGCGTGATGAGTTTCTCGAATTATCGAGGAAGTCCCAGTGTGATCGAGATGCTTTCTTCGTTAGTATATAAGCCTGGCAGTGAAAGCCAGCGGAGATAGATTGTGAATCGCTGTGATTTATAGCGTGTATTATAAAAGTTATTACGTTTAAAGTGATGAGAAACGTACTGATTGTGGAACTAATGTGTACTAAAAGTTTGTATCGAGGAAGAATAAACTGATTCAATCACGAAAGGACTTGTATCGTCGAAGATTCTCCGAAAGAATTTCTACCGGAAACAAACAAACAAGCAGATACGTAACACTACAAAAAGATGCACAACAATTATTTTTATATTAGTTATGGCGTTTGTTTGCCCATTATCTAGAATGATAGTCTTCTTTACAGATGATTTTTACATCTTAAAAACATTTTTCTTTTTCAAGGTGAGTCGTTTCGGTTTGAGAAAGTTAGAACTGTTGCATTCTTAATTAAAGCATCCATTTATTTGTAAGGGGGGAAAATAATAATAAAATATTATCGATACCCTACTTGCCGTATCCTACAGCTATCTAGAAGAAAGATCAAATGATTATAAGGGCAAAGAAAATAAGATCGGTTTTGTGTATACAAACTATAAGCAATAGCCTGAAGCCAGGAACTTTAAAAAATAGTTTCTTTGTTTATTTTACAGCAAAACCACATTGGGCTATATGCTGTGTCTACCGCGGGAAATTGAATCGTGGATTTTACCGCTGTAAGTCTGTAAATTAACTGCTATCAGGACCGCCGGACAAAAAAAAAGTTATATGTGCAACATACAATGCAAAAAATATGAAAGAAGCCAACGTCTGTTGAAGACTGTATGCCCAATCTAGTTTCTGTAACGTTACTTAGGGTCTCCAAGACTGAGACAGAGAACGAAACCTGAATAGCCAAAACCAAGATCAAGACCCTATAATTTGATCTTGAGACTGGTATAGAGATTACATTTCTGATTCGGAGTTTATATACATTATTTTAGAACCAAACATGATTCTAAATTTAAACATTTAAAACTTAGCTGTGTGTTAAGAATAGTCATAATTGTCTCATGCAATTTGTAATTGACGATGAATTCCATATCTGTTTTCCTTCCGTTTATAACTTTACTGAATATCTAAGTAAATTTGCGATTGATGATGCTCTAACATTAGTAAATAAATAGCATTGTAACATTATTTTCAGATTTTGCTGAAGATGGAATAAATGTATTTCAAAACGTTCGAAGTTCCTGTAAATTAAAATGTTTTATATTTTGTCAAGCGTCTTCATCTTTATTAGTGTTTAGGATTTGAACCACTAGACGTCAGCACGGATCATGTGTGCAATAATCACCTGATTTTTTGTCATAATTATTACAGCTTGATAATACACAAAGACGTAGTTGGGTGTGAAACGCACTATTGATATTTATTTTTTTATATCTTGAGAAGTTCTGTTCATTTAGCGTCTGCGTGTTAAGTTGTTCCTGCTAAGACAAAAAGGGTTTATTTTATGGTAATTAAGACAAATAAGATAGCAAAGTAAAAACAGTGAAAAAATGCAAGTGATCTTGCTCGTAGCTGCACTTTCTTGTGGTAAGTGTGTTTATTTCAGTTTCAAAATTTAATTTGATATTATCATTTTCTGCAAGGAAATCACAGTAACTGAGATTGAGAAAATTAACTGTTTCAAGTGTTTGAGTCTTAGTCTTAACGAGTAATTTGGTAAATGCAATTGCTAGTTCATTTAACATTAGACTGTTTGCTGATGATACCACCACTACTACTTCTAGTTCTAAGTTCTACTAGTAGTAACTAGTATTAGCTGTTAGTATTATACTAACTTATTTGTGACCAGTAATAACTTGGATTTACAAATTACACTTAACTATGAATAGCAATAGCTGTATTAATAGTACTATTAGTATGGAAATGATTAATTTAGATAACTAGATTTAGCTAATGATCTCTCTGTTAATTTTAGTGAAACAAAAGTTAAAATTAAAGGCACTTTGAGATAAAACTAGAAGTTCAGAATATTGTTACTTAAGTTTTAAATTTTCTACCTTAAATATCTGGGGATGGTGGGAGACTGTAGCTGATGTACCTGTTCAACACCCATGGAAAACAGGCCCCCCCCCCCACTGGCAGTAACATAAGATGATCATACTTGAATGTCTCCTCAAATGTTGCTCCTTGGGTATATGCCAGGATAAATGGTCTAGTGGTTCACCAATTATAAACACATACAGAAGCATAGACTTGTCAAATAATAGTTTAGGTTATTGATCATTTCAGTTGGAAACAATATGGAAAGATGATCAGTACCAAGCTGTTGAAAAATACTGGTATTTTGTTAAAATTAAGGTGCTAAATTTGAAATTTTGCAGATTGTTTACTATGCAGTTGTATAACCTCATATTAATTAAATAATTATGAGCTGGAAGATGGTTAATGTTACAAACCTACCATCAGTCAATATTGTTCATAATAAAATCATAAGCTAATGAACTTTGTGTCAAGGATGGGTCATGTAACACCAATCTATTTGGCTTCAAATATTCTAAAAGTTAGTTATATTTATAATTAGAATTAGCAAAATGTATGTATAAACTTAACTATAAAATGTTACTTCCAGTTTTCCAAACTTACTTTATCTTAATAAGTGATGTTTATAACCATTTTACTAAGCTAGCTACTTCCAGTGACCTTTATTTACTTACACATCTTTACTGGGTCAAAGGTCAGTTAAATACGGACGAATTCAGTTATGGTTTGAGATACCTAGTAATTTAAAATAGCTTAATTTTCACAACTTAGAGAGGATTTTATGGTCTTACGTAAATGATAGTAAGGAATAACATGCTAATATATATAAAAATTATTTAACATTCAAGTATATGGAGAGTTCAGTTTAAATTAATTATCATAAAGGTTGTTTACTAGATGAACAATAACTGTCAACTGGTCTTTTTGCCATTCTGCATTTAAAGTAATTAATGTTAATCATCATTCATTTTGTAAGTTCTTTACGACTTTTCAACTAGTGTAGCACATCATTCTAATCAAGTATACTTGTTTATGTTCAGCTTAAAACTTAACATATTTTGGAAAACAGTTACTATATACACAGTAGTCATGAAGTTAAACTAAAAATATTTTGTTTGCATAATATATTTGTGTAACATTTAGAAATTTGGTTGGCTTAGCGTGGCTTGGTGGTTAGGCATTCAATCCATAATCTGAGGGTCACAGGTTTGAATCCCTGTCACCAAACATACTCAACCTATCAGTCATGGGGGCATTATAATATGATGGTAATTCTCACTATTCATTTGTAAAAGAGTAGCCCAATAGTTGGTGGTGGGTGATGTTGACTAGCTGTCTTCCCTCTAGTGTATCACTGCTAAATTAGCTAGTGCAGATAGCTATCGTGTAGCTTTGTACAAGATTCAAACCAAGAAATTTGGATGTGAATTTAGGATTAGTGTAAAGACTGTCCTTTGACTACATTGGACCATATGAAGGCATGGTTTACAGTATACAGAGGCATCCCAGATTTTTGCACAACCATAGCAATATACAGAGTTCAGGGCAGTACCCCAAGTGGGAGGTCCTGAAAAACCTCCTCCCCTCTAAAAAAGGAAAAACATCAACAGAAATTTACAGTATTTCAAGCTTATTGAACCAGTGCTCCAGATAATTTTTCTATGTAAAGAGTAATCACTCCCACAATTCTGTTAGTGGGAGTAATTTTAATTTTTTTACGAAATGCAGCAGTAAGAATTTGTGATAAAGTAACTTAAATAATTATGAATTATTTTATTATTTCAAAAGGTGAAATTTGGCACAGGATTAATTTAGCCAATTAAATCAAATGTAGTCATAATAAACACATATAATGATATTACAACTTTTGCTTTTATATTTTTTACACACAATTTCTAGGCCCAGTAATGCATAAAGATGCATATTTTTCTTTGGCTTGTTAAGTAGGCTAAACAAAATACTTTAAGAAAACCAAAAGGTATGGGTTTGTATACAAAATATATAGGTCTATAAAATACTAAGGTTTATGTGTTCATATTGTGTATGCTTTTTCTTTTATTGATAACCTGAGCACTCTTAGAAAATCAGAAGTTAAACACTTAATATTTTTTGCACTCTCAAGTACAATGCTAAATTGCTGGTCTATAAAAACTTGCCCAGTTTATGCTCAAACATATACAGGAACTAACAGAATGCCACTAAATAAAATTGGTGATACAGTACTATGTTAACGGCTTGCTTGTGCAAGTTGAAATAATAAAAAAAATAATAAATGGACTAGCTAAGGCTCCACTTGTAATTTCTCTTATCAATAAATGTGCATGTTATGTTTGCCATAGTTGCAGCTCATTAAATTTATAACATTCCTGTGGAATGAAAATACATTAGTTTTATTTCACTTTCAACCCCATTTGGTGTAACATTTGTAACCTCCACATGCTGTTATCTTTGGGCTAAACATGATACAGAATTCACATGTTTTAACTGCTCAGTTTTACTTAAATGTGCATTTAATAATTGTTTTTTTTTGTTAATTTGCCAGGAATACTCGTGTAGTTCGTTTAATAATTTGTTAATAATACTATATTATTAAGGTGATTTAGTTCAGGGTTGAATATAGGTAACAGGGTTGTAGTGCAAAAGTATCTAATAACAAATACCATTTTTAATACATAATAATATAATTTTCAACAACAAACTTTAGTAATCTTGCTAAAAAGGAGGTGGGGGAAGAAACACAAACCCCAAGTAAAAAAAATTAATACTTCACTTTTCTGTCTTGCTCATAAGTGATGAATCACTTAAAGGTTGTATAGGCTGTGATAAATATATGTTGGGGTAAGGGTAAGTCTTGAGAGAAGCATGCATCCTTATAAAAGTTCAGTTGAAGATTAGTTTATAAACCAGGAAGAAGTCATAAAAGTGATTCACTGAGCAAAATTATTGGGAAGAATGACTGAAAGAGGAAAGTAAATGTACTGTTGAGTACATTTGTGCATAATATATCCTGTGTAGATGATTTATTTAAGTGTTGTAATGGAAATTTGGATATGCAAACTTGAATATTGGGATTATTGTAATTATATTAAGGAAGAATAGGTATTAACTTTTTCTTTGGGAAAATATTTCTGTTACAGTTATAACAATGTGTATTATTTTGCTTGATGACATTTATAAACGTGTTTGCAGAATTGGATTATGAATGTGAGGGGCTGCATTTAATACAGTTTTGTTGTTTGTTTCCCTCTGTGGAGGGGTGAACTATGAGCAAAATGGCGATATTTCACTTATTTCTTTATGGAGAGATGAGAAAATTCTGTGGATTCATAGTTATCAGCTTTTTGTTTTTTCTCTCCAAGTATCATTTCTGAGACAATCCAATTTAATAAGAATTTTTATGGGTTTGGTAGTTTATAATGCCTGATTCTATAGAATCATATGCAATCATCCAAATATATCTTGTGACTTGTAGCAGAGTGTATAGTCACTCAACTACATAAAATACAGATCACAACTGATCAATTGGTCTTTCAAGGCTGTCCTTACACAAACCTTATCATATGCAATCATCCAAATATATCTTGTGACTTGTAGCAGAGTGTATAGTCACTCAACTACATAAAATACAGATCACAACTGATCAATTGGTCTTTCAAGGTTGTCCTTACACAAACCTTTATTTTTTAGGAAATCATTGATTCCTTTCTTAAAATTCTGTTAAGTGCTGCTACATATTACAGCTGACAGTAGTGCATGCCATGAGCCAATCACCCTGTTAAGAAAAAAAAAATTCCTAACTGAAGCCTAGCCTGATTTTAAACATGTATCCTTTTGTCTGAAAAGAAAAAAAAATCCTTTATACTGTTGATCACTCAAATACTTACAATACTCTTTGTTACGAATATCAATAAACTCTGTAATGCCCTGTACTTTTTAACATTTGGCAAGAAATTTCCAGTCGGTCTCTGTACTCCTTACTACAAAACTTTTACCAACATTATTAATGAGTCCCACAATGTGTGATTTCTTGATGATTTCTTTCCTTACTACAAGTATCTAAAGATTACATTTCGTTACATTAAATGAAAACAAAACAAAAACAACAACACCTGAAACATGACTTGAATGCAGTATTTTTACTTGCTAATTTAAAATTGGGAAACCCCATTAAAACATGTATGACACTGATATGCACAAAAAAACCTACAGAAAATGTTTATGGATTGACTATCTTCATGCTTCTTTTTTTGTATGAATGCTGCACTTGTAACCAGTTTAAAAAATAAATCTTGAACGTTGTGTACAACTAGTCTGAATACTCATTATAGTGCCTTGATTGTCAGCTGTAAAAATTGAAAATTCTCCTTGATGGGCTGTTGTTAAACTGTAGAACCCACTGGTTTTTTTGCTAACTAGCCACTGTTAATTTGGATCTTTGTTCTACCACTTAAACATAGGCAACTCATAGAAAATCTACCTAACCTTAAATAATGTTTTAAACACTTGAATGAAATTATAACTAATGTTTCAGTACTCTGGAGAAAACT